CCCAGCTCAGTCATCAAATTCACTTCCAGGAGGCATGACTTTCTCTTCTTACACAGCACATACATGAATAAGTTCTTCCCTACCCAACGTGACTCCTTTCATAGGGTGTAGCTAGCACCATGCAGTTTTGAAATAGATACATTCATCTTTGCCACACAGCCATTTACTTTTCTGTACTTTTTTAATGCTCCCTCTTCTCTCTGAGTCCTTCGTAGCCTCTTCTAGTCCCACTGCTGCTGCTAGGTAAATAAGAGAGTTACCCTGGCAAAGGAGACCAGGCGTGAAAATGGTATTTCAAGAACTAAAACAGCCTGTGCAAAAGGTCTAGACTCTTGAAATACCACGTTTGGAGATCTATAAGTGGTTTTGTGTAATTAGAATAGAAAGTGCTCAATGTTTCAATATTACTTCTCTCTCCCTTTTTTTAAAAAAATCTTAATCAAAACCTTATTTCACTCAACATAGTTTCTTTCAACTAAGTTAGGGAAAGAAGGTAATCTCACTGAAACTCATAATACAATACAGTCAGCAGCCCTCAGTATCCACAAGTTCCACAACCAGCTGCAGATCAAACATACTCGGAAAAAAAGGAAGGTCACATCAGTACTAAATATGTAGACTTTTTCCCTTCTATTTCAAAATACAAGAAGACAGCACCTAACTATACAAGGTAAATACTCCCTGGACACCTCTAACATACTCACCCACAGAGAAATACCTTTGAATGGGCATCTCCCTGCTGTTGATGTGAGAGTTTTCCAACCACTCATATACTGCCTTCTATTAACAGTGCATAAAATTGTCTAGATAATGCAAAAATTCCATGCTTTCAATGTAAAGGTAGTATTTTAGCCTACTAAAGCCAAAAAGGAACGGAAAAAAGACCATTAAAATAAACATCACAGGAGGCTTCAAAGCAAGAAGTACTGAAATATGCAAGTACCTTAATCATCAACTAGAAAGAGTAAATTTGACTCTACAACTCTCTCCATACTTCTCTCATACAACACAAACTGGTAGTCTAAAAAAAATCATAGCACAGTATACAAAATATTCAGACCTTTTTTTCCTGAGAGCTTAAAAAGTACAAAGAGAAATTGTGTGACAAGTAAACGTTTGAAATCCCCCATCAATAGCCTTTGATGAAACTCCATCTTGAAACCAGAATGGTATGCTTTAAAAACGAAGTGTTCTAAGTAAAGCGAAGTTGTTTTTATTTTCGGACCAAAGTGGGGGGAAACTGCCAATTTAAAAGTAAAAGGATTTTAGTGAAAAGTTCATAGTAGTGAGATATTTGCTTTGCCACTAAGAAGGCGGAAGCTCTGCTGGGTAGAAACCGCCATTCTTTGAGGTCTGAGACTTCAGGCATCACTCCGTCTCCCCTCTCATTCTTACAAACGCAGCCTCTCCATCACAGCTGCACATTGGTCCTCTCATTCCAACCATACCACAGCGTCTCCAAAGTGTGAAGCTTATGGCCCTTAAACGTGTTCGAGAAAGCTGCTAATCAACAACTTTACAGCTTGTCATCAATCAGATGACAAATCGCAAACTTGCTTCCTCAAGCCAGAACAGACACTCCAGGTCGCCAACGAAATGAAGTTCCTTCCACCCCCACAGGAAATCTACCAGGTTTCAGTTCTTTCGCTTTTTTTTTTTTTTTTAAGACAAATAAAAAATTAACTGAACACACGTGTGTTCCCACCATGCTCAAGGCAGAGAGATGAGTGGGCAGAGTTGGGCTGACGTTTTCAAATTCCTGCACAGCAAAGCAATTGTGCCTATGTTTGGAAGAGTAAAAGCGTCTGGAATGCACAAGGATGCAGAGCCGCGCGAGGCGCGAGGCGCGAGGAGCAGGCAGCTGCTGGTGGCCTCAGAGTCACAAAGGCTGCCGGGGCAGCGCGCGAGCCAGAGTCATGACCAGCCTGGGTCCCAGGCTCGCTGCTGCCTCACACCGCATCCGGTCCCAAGGCCAGCTGTCCCGCCCAGAGAAGCCCATCGGCACCGGACACAACTCTGGGAGGGCGAGGCAGAGAGAAAGTGAGGGAAGGCTGCGGGCGAGGGGCGGGCGCGCGACGGGTCCCGGCAGGGAAAGGACCACGGAGTCCGGCGTGGGGGCTGCGGGGCGGGGGCTGTGGGGGTGGCGGATTCGCTCCGGCCACCGATCTAGCCCGGAAGGTGACCTGGGAACCGGAATTGGTGACCGACGGAGGGGGAGGAGGCTCCCGCGGCCGCGGGTCTAGGCGCGTGAGCCGGTCACGAGGCGCGGCGCGGCGGGATTGGGGAGGCGGGGGCGCGCGGGTCACCTGTATTGTTGGAAAAGCTGGTCCGACTCCCTGAAGCCCTTGTTGAGCAGCATGTTGATGCCGGCCAGGGCCAGCTCCGCGTCCTGCAAAGGCGCCGCCGCCGCGCAGAGCCGGCCATGGAGGCGGGAGGCCCTGCGCTGGGCCGAGGCGAGGTCGGCAGTAGCTGCTGCAGCCCGGCGCGCCCCGAGAGGGCTCTACCTGCCTGGAGCCGTGCAGAGCTGGGAGGAGAGGGACGAGGGAAGGAGAATATAGAGGAGGGGAGAGGAATATACAGGAGGGAAGGGCCGCGGAGAGAGGAGCCGCGATTCGGCGCGGCGCGGTGCGGCGGCGAAGTTGGGCGTCTGGGCGCTGCCGCGAGAATTACTCCGCAGCGTCCGCCCGCTCCTTTCGCGCCCTCAGAGGCACCCGGCTCGCGCGGGCCCTGAAGCAGAATCCGTTTCTAGGTGTCTCTCACCTGCGGAGTCGGTCCCCGAGCGGCGGCCGCCTTTGCTTCCGGGAGCCCCCGCGCCCCGGCCCCTTCCCCTCCCGGGTCCCCAGTCCGCGCCCTCGCCCACCGCCCGGGGCTGCTGGGACAGACGCCCGCGTGCCCGGAGACCGGCGTGCCCTACACTTCCTCGAAGGGGCGGGACCCGGGAGTCGGGGGGAGGGCAAGTAGCGGAGGAAGAGCGCGCGTGCGGTTGTGGAAGGAAAGGGAAAGGGACGGTGACCTCCGCCTGAGGCCGCAACGCGAGCGCGATACGCTTTGTCCACGAGTGACTGAAAACCCGCCCCTGCGACCCCAGACTTTTTTCCGACCCTGGGACAGCCCCCTGGGACCGGGACAGCCAATTCCTGAGGAGGTGGGCGGCGGGGGCGGGGCCTCTGACAGCTGCTAGACCGCTCCCCGGAGCCCCGCACCTGGAACTGCCAGGGAGAGCACCTGGATCCGGGTACCACCCACTCCTGCCCGCCACCAGTGTTTGCACAGTGGGGCAGCGGGAGAAATGGAGGCCTATATGCCATATGCCCAAATATTTAAAAGTTATAAATTAAGCTGCCAAAGTGGGTTCTGTTCTCACACTGCCAATTATTTTTGCAAAGCTTTGGCTTTCACATGACCACATGTTACAAAACATCAGAGGTGACTGACTAATCATCGCAGAAGCCTCACTATTCTAATAATGGGCGGATGATATCTGATGCCTAATATTCTAGAGACAAGCAATTCATAAATCATTTTTGTGATTTTCCATAAATTTATTTCCTCTAATTTAGCAAAATCCCTTAATATGGTGTTGCAATCAAGATTATGTTCTTAATGCCAAATTAGACAACCTTCCTTGAGTCGCTGTCATTCTTAAGAGTGCAGTTTATTAATTTCAACTTGGAGAAACTTTACTGAAGCATCCATAGCAATATTGATTTTTAAAATGAAGGCGATCCTCAGGTTTAGAAATAACTCATGAGTTTCCACTTTCGTCTGTGACTGGTATTCTTCATACCATGCTGGTACATAATGAAGCAGTCATGTCTATATAAAACATTTCTATCATCCTAAATGCAGTCGACTGATTTGGAGTGGCAAAAGAAGAGAGATGTCCTACCATAGATTCTGGTGTTTGACAAGGAAATACAAATACCAACTTAAAAATGTTTAGCGTAGTTATTTTTGAAGCCACTTCTAATAAAAACTTTCTATTCTTCAGTTTCCCAAAAAAGTGAAGGAAATAGAAAAAAAAGTGTGACATTCATTTAAAAACAACTGGCTTATTTGAATTACTCCTTTTTAGGTTTTACACATTCAACTGTTTATACAATAAAGCATTGATTTTTTTCCTCTATAGCACGTCTTGATCACATATCTTAAAGCCAAGGTATTTGTAAACATGATCAATAAGTCGGCATTAAGCTGAAACTCACCTTTCTTTAGTATTTCTAAGAAAAGGTGAAGGCGTGAGGGTAAAGAAAAATTACTATTAGTAATATAATGAATTAGGATTTTGGAGTTAAACATCCCTGGATTTGATTTCTAGTTCTAGCCCATGCTGGTGATGCTCATTAAGTTAGTTAACCTCCCAGGCCCCTAATTTAAAAACCAGAGAAGACTGTTTGAGGATTAAATGTGATATTGTATGTAAAGTGCCTGGTGTAGATAACATGGTTTTTATCTTTGTGGAGAAGAGGTCTCACTATGTTGCATAGGCTGATCTTGAACTCCTGGCATTAAGTGATCAACCCACCTCATCCTCTCAGAGAGCTGGGATTTCAGTGAGTCTCCATGCCTGGTCAATTAAACAGTTTTTAAAAATCACAATTTTCAATAAATTGTCCACTTAGCCAAATTGGGTAACCCACTTCTAAAAGACCATGTCAAAATTATCTACTAGCCTTATTGAAAATATAGCATATTGGACATTTTCTTGAAAAGTGACATTTCTACATTTTTATTAAAAATGACCAGAAAAAATACATTCACCTTAAATTAAGATTTATCATAAGTATACATTTTATTGGCATATTGTTTTATCAATGTTGATGATATTGTATATTTATAAATTAAAGTAATTGGAATCAAAATATTTTATTTATATCTTATTTATACTTTATTAAATTATATTTCATTTATAGATATTCCAGGATCAGAGGCAACTGAAGTAATTAAGATTAATATGTAAATTCTGATTCTTTTCAATTGTGTAGAACAGAATACAAACATTTTTAGATTACATGAAGTTGAACTTTTATTTGGAAAGTTGAATTTCATGTATAATGAAAATATTTCCAAACATACATAGTCATAAGCATAATACAAACACCACCTACAATACAAACACATTTTAATAAAGTTCTACTATGAATATTAATCCAAGCCAAAAGAAAAAGGTAGTCAGGTGAACCTGTTCTACGTACCTTTAATCTCTTTTGATGATGTAATCAAACAATTTAAGGTTCAAAACAAAGAAAGCTTTGGCTGGACCCTACTTATTTCACTATAGGAACACTAGGATATATACTACCACAGATACAGGTAACAAACCCAAACCCATTATAATCAATTTAAAATTGTTACAAGAATCATATCTTAATGGTATGTAAACACACTTAGGGTTTCAATTGGCAATTCTGTTTTTAATGCTTAAAAAACCTCACCAACATTTCTCATTATCGTCCTCTTTTTAGCTTATCTCTTCCATGAGTATAAAATAGGAAAAAAATATTATTTGAGACTTCCAGCATAATTCCATTGTGCTCTACATTTTTACAAACATGGGTGCATCTAAAATATCGATGCCTTTATACCAATAGAATAAAACCACCAAATTCGCATTTTTCTTATAAATACACATGCAAAATTAGTGGAAAACACTTTTGTATAGCAAAGACCCTGCTTAATTTTCTTCTGATTAATAATTTTCAATGGCATGTGTAAATCATACTGCTCACTAAGCAGTAGATTTATTTTCTGTAGATTTGTTTATAAAAATATATTTATGTGTTCACAGGAAAAAAGTTGAGTTGGTATGTGGGGGTGACTTTTAGATACATAATTAGATTAAAGGTTTGCTTATGAAGTTAAAAGGCATCTTAGCTTTTATCATTTTCAAATTTTTCTTCATAAAAAAGAACACCCTGTGACAAAGATAAGGTAACTGAGATTATTACTAGCACTTTAGAGTTGAGAGTTTGAAACAAAAAGGTTAAGCAACCTGCCTCATGTTTATGTACAAAATCAGTGCTGGAACCAGGAAGAGAACTTGGATTTTCCCAACCCTTGGACAGTTCTCTAGGAACTCATGCCCACCAACCATCCTTGAGACTATATACAATCAATTACATTAAAATAATATTGACAGTAGACTAGAGAAAGTTAGTGTAAAGCCAGTTAAGAACAAAATTCTAAATGTTGGCTGTTGCCTTATCGCTAGTGGGCATTTTGCAAACAATCCTCACCAATTTATAATTACCATTGCACATTGTGGACTCCGTTACTCATTTTCTGAGGGAAAGTAATGAAATGCATTTGAACCTACTTGGATTTATTTTATTTGAAGCTTATTCTGATTCATAAAATACACATATAATTTCACAATTAAAATCAGGGATAGGCCGGGCGCGGTGGCTCAAGCCTGTAATCCCAGCACTTTGGGAGGCCGAGGTGGGTGGATCACGAGGTCAAGAAATCGAACCCATCCTGGTCAACATGGTGAAACCCTGTCTCTACTAAAAATACAAAAAAAAAAAAAAAAATTAGCTGGTCGTGGTGGCGCGTGCCTGTAATCCCGGCTACTCTGGAGGCTGAGGCAGGAGAATTGCCTGAACCCAGGAGGTGGAGGTTGCGGTGAGCCCAGATCGCGCCATTGCACTCCAGCCTAGGTAACAAGAGTGAAACTCCGTCTCAAAAAAAAAATATCAGGGATAATCATAGACCTATTCTTTCTGTGCTGAAGAGTCCCAGTAGTAGCCAAATAGTATTGAGGAAAGGTAATTGTGATAGCAAAACAGTCATTATTAAACCTCATTTTTCAGATTCATAAATTTTAGCCACTCAGAAAATCTGAGTGGGAACAGTCTTGATTTTCAGGCAGCTAAAGGGGAACATGAAGTGTAGAAAGTGCAAATATTTCAGTGTTTAACTTGACTTAAAGATTATTAAATTCCTAATTTTTTGACATTGTTTCTAACCTGCATGACTTTAAAAACCATATTTTGGCTGATGACAAAGAAGAGGAGATAGAATAGTGCCAGAATTAAACCTGAATGTCACAACCTTGCCCTCCTCAGTAGCTGAGCACCACAACTTTCTCCCAGAAAAATCAAACCATGGTAACTATTCCTCCAGAAAATCTGAACCTTAGACATCAGAGGAGGATGGAGCTGGAGTTGCACTGATGAATGTGTAGATCCTTACACTCACATGGGGTAGGCACCCCCTTTGAAATGTTTAACTGCCAGGAGTGTCATCAAATCCTGAGCCCATAAATTATAGTTTTAAAGAAGACATTCTTTTCCTGTCTATGCATTTTGGAGGATACATTAGGTTCAAAAGAACAGGTAGATATTCCATGTGCATTCCTGCACTGACCATGTTAAGTACCCCAAATTTTGGTCTTCGAGAAATATAAGGAGTTACATAAATCGAAGTTGAGGATATAACAATATACCAATAATCACAGTTCAAAAACTAAAGTAAAATCTGTGAGTCAATTTCACTTAAACATAGTTAAGTATTTCAGGGTAAGGTTAAAAACTGTTTCCATAAAATGTCAAGTCGAATGTTGAACTTGACTGACATGTATACATCGTCCTCCATATTGTTTTTAAAACGTGTTCGTGTAGAGTTGTAAAAGGACTGTATCACAACTGCTAGAAAATAAATTCCCTGAATTTGTACTGACTTTGACAAAAGGAGAATATAGGGGAAAAATTCTCACCACAAAGATGTCTAAAATGCCATATATGCAAACATGTGTAGGAATTTCTATGTAAACAGGTTTTTTTTTGAGGGGCTGGGGTAGATGTACATTCAACAATAAAAACCTATTTTGAAAAATATGAAAACATTTCCCTCAATATTTATATGATACTTTATTTTGAAACTGTTGAAAAAAAGCAATATAAGAACAAAATTCAAATGCTTTATACAAAGTCTTCAGTTTTGGAGCCTCGTGTTATTAGTTTTAACTCTGGAATGATGAAAAACAGTATCTTACTCATATATTTGAGCTGTACAAACATGCCTGTTAATGTTCCTTTTCTCACTTCAAAATAAAACACATCTGTATTTTAAATTGTGTAAATATTAACATAATATGTACAATGTATTCATGAAATATATGCAAGCATATCATTATATAAACATAGAAAAAAGGTAAAAACAGTCAATTTAGAAATGAAGATATTAAGTAGATGTAGCTGTTAGAATCCAGAACAATGGGCACTTTCTGCCTGTTCTTGTGTAAAACAAGCTTTTGACCACTGCTTCCTTTGCAATTGAATTTAGTCCAAGGAAAAGAACCACAGACATAAAAAGTGATGCTTGTGGATGTCAAAACTGACAGAAATTTTTAAAAAATCATGTTGAAACTGAAGAAGTTATAAGTCTGTTTAAATATGACCATCTCTGGGCAAATAGGAGCACAATAAATACTAGTTGATTATTCACCTATGACTTTTGCTACTAAAATTTAAATAATAAATTTAGACAGTATATATTCAATGAAGTATTTTAATAAGACATTCATATTCCTTTTTACATTTTAAATAACCAGTTTGCCTATAGTTTTTTAACCTGTAGTGAAGCAAAGCCACCAAGCCAGTTCTCAAAGACTGAATACCAATGTGCGTACCGAGAAAACCCCGCAAGGTAGCAACATCTATGCAAGCACACTGAATGGTAAAATCAGGCAAATATGTTGTATACTGAATGGGGACTTTGGATTTAGTTGAGGTGTATCTAAATACAGGATTTGTTTTGTGTTTTGCATTTTGAGCACCTGAAAACAAAAACAAAACAGGCCTGAAGTACTTGGCATTTTATATTTTGAAGGCAGTGCTATTTTTTTTTTTTCAACATAATTGCAGGATATTAATTCTGGATGAAATCTTCGGCCAACATGTTTCTATTCCTATATGAAAGTTCTTGCTCCCTTGAACAGATAAATATGGAAGATTGGAGTGAACCAGTAGTGTTGCTTACATGCATTGTGTTTATGCCCGAAGTGGAAAAGTTGCTGTAGAACTTCCATTGCTTTCAACAGATCCCTTCTCCTTAGATCCAGCATAAGCACCAATAAATGATCCATCTTCATTGAATAGACCATGGTCTCCCTCTCCGTATTCGACTAAGCTGTCAGCACTTTCAGTAGGCTGCATATCCCTATTAATGGACCGAAGGCTTCCTTTGAGAGGTTTTTCATCACTGTCACTAGAAAACAAACAAACAAAAATAGTTCAACAAAATCTAATACCCATATTCACATAAAGCAAGACATTCACAAGTGCTAACAGACACTCATATTAGCATTGAAGGACATTCATATACTAAAGCCCACATGATACTAACACGCATGTTAACAAAGTTTACAGTCTGTAAGCACATGTTTACAGAGTCATAAACAATTTGCATCAAAACAAGTTTTCACTATTCACAACACTTCTGCTTCCTTTTAAAATTGACAACTTAGCTTTTGTAGAACATGTGGGATTCAACATGTTGATTTCCATAGTGGCTGCTATGGTCTGAATTCCTGTGTCCCCCCAACCTTCCTATGTTAAAACCTGATAATCCATGTGAGGGTGATAGAGGTGGAGCCTTTGGGAAGTGATTAGGCAATAAGGTGAAGCCCTCCTGAACGAGATGAGCACCCTTAGAGAAGAGGCCCCAGAGAGCTGCCCTACCCCGTCCATGATGTGAGGACATAATGAGAAGGTGCTCTCGCTCACCCAGAAAGTAAAACTTTGCCAGACATTAAAAATGCTGGCACCTTTATCTTAGGTTTCCAGAGCTATGAGAAGTTAAGTTTCTGTTTTTTTATAAGCCACCCAATTTATGATATTTTGTTACAGCAGCCCCTAGTGGACTCAGACAGAGAACACATGCAATTTCCCTTGCTTTTGTGAACTTTTGGAGCTCCTGGCTTCCAAGTCTTGATCTTCTGTCTTTACTTCTGATCCTTTTGATTCTCTTATATCCTTCCAAAAAGTTTTCTTTTAAATACCAATCATATTCTGTTTTCAAAACCAAATAACTTGCTTTAATATAGTTAACAACTCAAGTTTGTTACATTTTAAGACAGAAAGAAATGGCTGGTAAGAACATAAATGAGTATACTATATTTATGGTAGGAGTTTTATTCATGAACAGAAGCAACTCCATTAGTAAAATGCTTTTCAAATAGTATGATCTTCTAAATTTTGGATCAAGACATTTTTCAGTACCAACTAGTATTACACTATGAAGCTATACATCATATAAAATAATTTTATAAAATTTGATAAATGAAGCATTTGGAATGTAATTTAGATGTATATATATATCACTTTATGATTTGTGGTATTCACCAGTGCTATTCATCAGATATGTCAGGTTTCTGGGAATAAAGCAGGATGGTTTAATCTGTGTTATATGCCACCATGGAATTTTCTTTAGTTGAAAAAAAGAGTGAGCAAAGGTGACCCTTCCAAGTAGAAGATTTAAAGCCAGTGCTCAGTTTGCTACATTATATTTTCTCTGCTGTAGCAACCCTGGATTCTCATCTACCAGCCAGTGCTCCTAAGTGACTAAGATGAAAACAGCAATCTCTGTGGGACACACAACTTGACAAAGAAAATGCTTTTGGAGTTGTTTTCACAGCAGCATAACACAGGCTACCCTGACTGATATGATAATTGGCTCTTGAATTAGGATACTGCAGTTACAGAAACAAATGCAGAAAAAAGATAAGGCATTGGCTGAGGAACCAGGAAATGAAGAGTAAAGAAAACTAAAAGGTACTATTATTAGAAGCTAGAAGGATTAGAACTCATGTTATGCAAGAGCACTGCATCTTATAAAAGTGTCTCCTGGGATAATGCAGAAAGTAGACATTTTCCTGATAAACGTGTCGTTTGGGGGAAAGAGGTTGGAAAACACATCAACTACTAAAAAGGGATGCCGTAGGAAATAATTCAGGGGATGATGTTAGCTATCTTTAAAAAGAAGCAACAGGGTGTGGGGAAATGGGTTTTTAGACAAGGTATTGTTTTTGTTTTCTTGCCTGTAAAACTGAGCTAATACTGTCTTTCAAAAGTTTTCTTCTTTCTTTCTTTTTTTTTCTTTTTGAGATGGATTCTCACTCTGTTGCCCAGGCTGGAGTGCAGTGGCACAATCTCGGCTCACTGCAACCTCTACCTCCTGAGTTCAAGCAATTCTCCTGCCTCAGCTTTTGAAAAGTTGTTGAAGGTCCTTTTGATTCAAGGACCTGAGTTCAAGCAGTTCTCCTGCCTCAGCTTTTGAAAAGTTGTTGAAGGTCCTCAGTGATCATTGCCTCATGGAATTTGTGCCTTGTGTAATCCTCTTCCCTTGGGCTGTGGGCTAAACTTACTGACTTGCTCCTATAGAATACAACAAAATTGATGGTATATCACTTCCAAGATTAGGTTACAAAAGTACTTGTGGCTTCCAACTTGGGTGCTCTCTCTTGCTCGCTGGCTCACTAAATCTGAAGGAAGCCAGATGCCATGTTGTGAATAGCCCTATGAAGAGATACACATGGTATGGAATTAGGAATGACCTCTGGTCTGTGAAGAACTGAATCCCTTAGTTCAACAGTCTGTATTGGAACGATATCCTGCCAACAGCTACATGAGTGGCCTAGGAATGACTTGTACTCTGGCTGAACCTTTACAGGAAACCATAGCCCTGGTCAAAACCTTGCTGTAACCTCATGAGAGATCCTGAACCAGAGGCACCCAGCTAAGCCATGTCTGGATTCCTGAATTATGATGACATTGAAATAATAAATGTTTATTGTTTTAAGCTGTTATGAATTTGTGGTTATTGTTATGTGGCAACTGATAACTAATACAACAGTAATGAGAACAACTTGTAAAGGTCCAAAATTCTTTTTTTCTCTTTCTTTTTCTCTCTTTATCTTTATTGTTGTTTATTCTGGAAAGACTTTAAAGTCACTTATTAAGAAATATAAAAATATTTTAAAAAGGATATTGTCTAAGTATAAGACAGAAAAATAAGCATAGTACAAAGTAGAGTATGGGTAAGCTCAAATGTATATCAATTAGCTAATGAAAATACTCCATATCTCTGGCTGGAGTGATGAATCCAGGGATGAGAGAATCAGGACCAATCAGATTTCTTATTTGACTTCCCATGTGCTAAAATTGATACAAACCTGGAACTTACAATAGGTCTGTTAGCTGAAAAAAAAATTGATGGCATTAAAAGAAAAAAGAGCTAAGAAGTTGAGAGAGTAGTAGAAAGGGGAAGATGAAGAGAGAGAACAGGAGAATTAGACAATTTAACACGTCCCCCAAAAGATTCCTACCTAACTTAGACTAGACTCTTGCCATTCCTCCCTTGCCTGACATGTCCTCACACATTTGGTCATCCTCTTTCCAGTGACTAAGAGTAACAATCTTTTTTATCCTTTAAGGCTTAACTTATCTCATTTGGATGATCCTTTTCCCCAAAATCCTGTCTGGGTAGAAATAGTTGCTCTCTTTTGTGCTCCTTTATTCTATTCAATTTATTACAGTTATTTGCAGATAGAGATATTTTTCTCTGCTGATTAGTTTCGTCTAGAGGACAGGGTTTGTAACTCACTTACCTTTGCAGGTGCAACACAGTAGGTATACAGATATGTGTATGTGGATGCAAACTGGATACAACCTGACTTCATAATGACCATGTTAAAGATGTTTTAGCTATCCCAAATAGATATTCAACCTAAATAAAAATAGTGTCTTTGTGTTAGGTACAGAGCTTCAAGAAAAGTGTCCTAACCCACACTTCTGCCTAGACTGTACTTCTTTATACACCCTCACCACACACACAGCAATTTGGTAGATAGTACTTAAGTGGGCCCTATTTGAAAAAAAAGTATTCTTTATAGGATCATTACCTTATAGTTCTGTAACCTTTTTATTAAGAATAAACACTTTTTTGTTCATTTAAGCTTACATGATGAATATGTGTTTTGATACATTTTAACACAGAATCTTATGTTTACCTGTATTCACCAAAGGTTTCATCTTTTACTGACTGAATTTCTGGATCTGGATGCAAATCTTCCTTTTCTTTAACTGAAAAAGGAAAAAAAAAAAAATAGGAAGGGAAAGTAATACAGTGACTGTTTAAAGGCATTTTACCAGTGCTGTGGAATGATAGATAATCAATAAGAACAACATTGCTCAAATTTTTTGATACCAGTGAGGCAATGTTTTTGTTTGTTTGTTTGTTTTGTTTTGTTTTGTTTTTTCATGGCTGTATCTATAGCCCATCAGTCGCTTCTTTGTTTAAACAAAAAGAGTCGGGATTTTGGGGGTTCTACTTATTTGCCATCACACCTGCAGCACTTTGCATATTTTCATGTGACTACTCAATATTATGTGAACAAGAAGTCTTATTGGAAGAGCCCAAATTAGTTTGACTTCTCAGTGAAGACCAAATTACTAAATATTTATTTTATTATCTGAACTTTCTGAAGATGTCACATATTCCTATTAGATCTACGCCATTAAACTAAATTGATTTTAAAAAGTCAATCAAGGCTGGGCATGGTGGCTCATGCCAGTAATCACAGCACTTCGGGAGGCCAAGGCAGGCAGAACACTTGAGATCAGGAGTTTGAATCAGCCTGGGCAACATACCAAGACCCTGTCTCTATTAAAAATGGAAATTAGACAAGCGTGATAGCAAACACCTGTAGTCCCAGTTACATGAAGGGCTGAGGTGGGAGGATCGCTTGAGCCTGGAAGGAAGAGGTTGCACTAAGCTGAGATAGTGCCACTGCACCACTGTAGCCTGGGCAACAGAGCAATACCCTGTCTCAATAAAAAGAGCCATCATTTGGTTGTTCTGCATCACTCTTACTCAAAATTTTTGAAACAATATGAATATTAAGTTATCCATTGACATTTTTCATTTAGATTTTATTCTAAATAGAGGAATAAAAGACCAAAAAATCTCCTGTTCCCTCAACTTAAAAAAAACTTTGGGAGGCCGAGGTGGGTGGATCACAAGGTCAAGATCGAGACCATCCTGGTCAACATGGTGAAACCCCGTCTCTACTAAAAGTGCAAAAAATTAGCTGGGCATGGTGGCGCGTGCCTGTAATCCCAGCTACTTAGGAGGCTGAGGCAGGAGAATTGCCTGATCCCAGGAGGCGGAGGTTGCGGTGAGCCGAGATCGCGCCATTGCACTCCAGCCTGGGTAACAAGAGCGAAACTTCGTCTCAAAAAAAAGAAGAAACACCATCAAATATAAATCGTTCTTCACAGAACTTTTTATTACTACATGCAGAGACCTAGTAGATTCTCTTAGTTGCCCTACAATATGAAATGTTGATTTTTTTTTTTCTTTTCAGGGTATGATTTGAAGAAACATTTTTAGAATCTGGATAGGGCCACAATTCACAAATGATTATTTGTTGGGGATAAGAGAATGCTGTAACTGTTTAATGTTTCCCATTAATTATTCAGAACAGTTAATAGTTATTGTGAACTTAATTCAAAATCATTCAGTCTTCAGATGAAAAAGTGAAATGCTTAACTCCATAAATTATGCATGTCATTTTACAAAAACCTAGAAATTATGCTCTCAGTGTTTCTATGCAGATGATGAGTTCCCAATAAATATTTGCTAAATAAATCATAAGCCAATAAGGAACGTCTCATAAATTTCAACATCATGAAACAAACAGCAGTGTAGTCTAAATCTTTGTCCCAATCTAAAAGCATTGTGAATACTAAACAATACTGATAATCATCATCATCTTGATACAATATGTATATCTGCAAAAGACAAAACAAATTTGGAATTTGAATGAAATTAAAGGCAAACATATTACCAACCACAATGGTTTTTATGTATCATATCTTATGTATCATTAATTCAAGAGGCAGTGTGTCTAATACATGCCATGGTAATAAGAAATGCATTCCTAGTAATGATTAACTCCAACAAAGTTGACCAGTGGAGCCAGTAATGTTAGAATGTACTAGTGCAAAGAAAATAGGAGTCACGTATGTCAGGCAAAGAGAGAGGCGTGCTATAGATAGATCATTTCTTAAGACATTAAAGCATATATGTGACTTAGTAATACATCTCTAAATGTCTCTGATATTTTACAGATGGACAATAGAAGCTTGGAATTATTATCAACTTTGTTTAGAACATATTTTAAGTGCTGGAAACTAGAACCAAGTAACTAGAGGGAAATAATACTCTAGACCATACATATTTTCTTTGGTTAATTTAGCAATATGTTTTTCCTCTCAGTGCATTGTACATCTAATTTGCTAATATAAATTTGTCTTGAATGTGTATTTTTTTAAAAAAAGATGTCTCTAAAGAATGCTTCCCAGAAAATGCTATTTTATAAATTGAAAATCGATTGAAAAACAATTTTACCTGAGTACTTTCCACCTCTGTTCCTCTTCACAAAGCAAACAGTTAACAATACTAGTGTGAGAAGAGCAATCGCACACATCAATCCAATAAACCAGCCTTGAGTGGAGATGTCATCATATAAACCAGCATATTCTGTTGTAGAAAGAGAAGTCAAAACACTGAACACTAGAAACAGTTTTTGGTGTTCTATAACATTTGGGAAAATTAGGCATCGTTTTTAAACATACTAAATAGTATCAATTTTTTAAATAACCCCAGATAGAATGCAATTTGAAGGACATGTTAGTGGGAGAATAATGATAACTTTTTTCCTTCTTTATTTAAAAAGCAATTTCTTCCAGTTATATTTGATTCTGAGGATGAAAAACCAAAGAAGGATAGTGAAGGCAGATGAGGTTAAACTCAGAAACAGCAAGGAGCAAACAAAAGCACAAGCTGCCTTGGTTAGAAGCAGATGACCGTGGAACCCAGTGGTTTCTGCTTTGTCTTGTTTTTTTTTCTTTTTAGTTTGTGTTATTAACATGTATTAATTAGCAGGAGATAATTTTAGGCAACAACTCTGGTACAAAAAAAATAAAGGATAAGTTGGACTATTGCGGAACAATGTTCATTTTGATCATTTAAAAATATTATGTCAAAAAAATTGAAATAATGATTTTCATAACTAATATGCTAGTGTTTATATGTTTAATATAGGACATATGCAATACTGAATATTCTACAGGACACAGATTGACTAAGACGTCCCCAAATATAATCTCATTTCTCACCTCTCCCTCTTGTCTCAATTACATCTTGAAAAATGCTATCGTTATCACCCCAATTCTTTGTCATGAGGCGAACTATATGTTCAGCTCCCGGCTCAAATACCTCTATTGGGTGAGTCTTTTGAGTAAGATTTACTCCTTCTGATATCTTCCCGATACCTTTACCTAAGAAATGTACACAGTGAAATCATATGAATTGTAATCATGGAAAAACAGGACACAAAAAATTTAAAAAATACTGTTATTTGAGGTGAATAAAAAAGTCACTTATACCATATTTTCTCAGATAGTTCTTGAATTACCAGGAGATCAAGAAAATCACCATTTCAACTTTCTTTTTTAATAAAATGAAATTAAGTAAATGAAGTGAACTCAATTCATGGCCATTTAAGATGAAATGGTACTGTAAATCTGCCTGGTCACAAGAATGGTTCAAAACCATAGATTTAAAAAAATTATACAATATAATTTGCTGTAATCTGGATTTTCACAAACCTAATGGAAACCGAATATGGCCTTTTGACTTATAATTGACAGCATATAACCTTATAATCTTAACTAACTATGTATTACTTTTTTGCCTTGGTTTTCTCCATAAACTGATGAAATAGCATTACAATATGGTCATATATTACATATTTAAAATTTATAGAAGCACAAACTATATGAAGTGCAGGCTTGTAGGTACATACATATAGAATGGTTTTACTGACATTTTGAAAGCGATGTTAGAAGTTAATACTTTTCAAAAAATATTAGTATGTCAATATGTTAATAGTAGAATCTCACAGCAGCAGATAAAATACATCAAGTTTAATAAAAATATGTTAACTTCTGATCTTGCCACCAAATGTATAAAATATTTTTGCATGTGATCCATAGTTTTGCTGGAATCAACTCAATATAATAAATATAACCTAGAAAATAAAACATTGATATAAAATATGTTTCTTATTGAGACTACAAGGGGTTATGAAACTCTTAACTGGCTATGTGTTACAGATCAATATTTCATTATGCATTTTCACTATAGAATAAAATTGATTATATAGTTACTAAATAACAAAACGGATTTTATTAAAAATGACACCATGAGAGAAATAAGGCCAACTATATGAGCAAAGCTTTCAAGATTAAGCATCATTGAAACAGAGTGCAGTTAATTTTGACCTTAAAAAATAGGGATATTAGTAAAACATTAAGTAGTGCAAGCTTTTGAAAAATAGAGTAAAGCAAGTGATTTATTCAAACCACTAATGACACAAAAATAACATTTCTTATTAACGCCATCTTTTTCTCTCTTAAGATTATGGAATATGATGTACTTGAAAATCAGAGTGACAACCTAAAAACAATCAGAGAAAAATGCTTGTCAGTCTAACCCTATTTTTTGAACAAACACCAAATGACCTTGAAATAAGCTACACAGGCAGAGCAAGAAGAAAGATGCATAGTAGTAGATTCCAATTTGTACAAGTGATCATTTTTAGAGTGCTTAGTGATAACAAGATGTATCTCCTCAGTGGAAATATGTATTTGTTTCAAAGATTATGTTGAACTCTAGTGGAAAAAGAGATTATATTTTTTCCCTGTACATATAGCAAGACATGCCTATAGAAGAGAAATCAGTGTCAATTGGGGAAGGGGGTAGTAGCTGGAATACTGAAAATGCAGGTTCCTGAAAAAGAGCATAAACACACTAGTAAGAATCATTTTTAAATTCCTGACACATAAGACAGTGAAGAAATGACATGTAGCAAACTAGTTACACTTTTAGTTTGAAGAAAAGATGCCACATCCATTGTAAAATCAGATGAACAGCATTTTCATTCTTCAAAAACAATTTCTCAAGCATGAATGCAACCTTGCCCAAATTTTCCAACATATGTACTAGAATGTGTAACACTTGTAAGGTAATTCCATGAATATTTTTTCTTAAATTCTTCAGATTGGCAAGAGTGGGATTAGCATTTTTCATGCACATTATGGTCTTGGTTTTTATCAAAATAGCAACCAATTCCATGCCTGAAATTCTGTTTTTAAAAATATGGAAGTTGTATGTTTGAACTACTCCATTCTGAGTATTGGACACCTTACTTTGTATTGAACACCTGATGTCAGTTTCAATGCTTGAGAAACAAGAACCTTATAGTTACTGCAAAGTTTTCAATCCCCATCTTTGACTTTATGAGTAAGTACAGTCAGTGAAATAAGTTCTTCATTTCACTTGGTGTTCAATTCATCCTTGGGAATACTTTTTGAGTTTTAAGGAAGGAATTATTTGAATTATATACTTTTCCCACATAAAAGGGGTTTTAAATATTTAAGGAATCAGAGAAGAGCATACGTTTTTTATTAGTTAGATATAGTAGGCACAATAAGAGGTAGAAACAAACCAATAACCATTCACACGCAAACACAGTGATCATCTTCAATAATAATAGGCAATTGAATTTTCTTTACTATTTTTGCCCCTTTGTGACATTTCTTTCATTGATACTACCATTTTTCTAATCCACAATTTGAAAAAGCAACCAGAACACAGTCTGACACATAGTATTAGGTTGGTGCAAAAGTAATTACTACTTTTAATAGCAAAGGCCGCAATTGCACCAACCTTAATATGTGATAGATAAACAACTTTTGCACCAACCTTAATACATGATAAACAACTCTGCTTCCCTTTCTGCCACCTGTATATCCTTCCTTTCTTCCCCCAATATCCTCCCATGCCTAACCAGCCTAAATCCTACATAAATCTCTCTTTGTTAAACTTGTTAGTGTGTACATCAGTTTCTCTGGTCTGACTTTTTGCAGAGGTCCTATTGATATCATAGAAAGCTTAGCAAGAACCTTGTTAAAATCATAACTGGAGTTGTAATTTGGGAAGGAAAATGTTTAAAACTATAAAAAAATAGGAAAGTGTAATTGAATTAGGAAAATTGTGTTACAAGTGAAACCAAAGATTTATAAGCCTTTTATTTGGCATCAATCATTGGACAGTAAAACAAAATCGACATATGAATCAATGTATATAGAGTGAAGTCATGGAAGTGAGATGTATTAGATCTGTAATGTCTACCAATGCAAAAGCCAAATATTTTTCTGTATGGAAACATTTCTAAAAGAAAAACATGTCTTTACTAACCTTCTGAATAGCTTTGTGACCTTACATTCCTCTACTTTAATTCAGTAAAATTGTAGTTCCTGACCTTGTATACGCTAAGCTATAATTTGATTTGTATTGTGCAGAAATCCATAAATTGAGTCAATGTGAACTTTACAAACAAGATTAATAAATTCTGCCTCTGTGTTACTGGAAAACAGAAGGTCAGACAGATTGAGATCACAATCATTTCTAATTTACAATGACTAGTTTGGTGTTTTCCTTTCAGGGAAACTGTTCAAAAAGATGCAGCCTCTTTTTAAAGCCTGTGTTAAAAAGAGAAGTCTCTTATACTTACTCCCTTCTCCTAAGGTGGAGCTTTCCTCAGTGATCGGTTTTCCACAACCCTTTGAAGTGCAAGCCCTCAAGTAGAATTTGTACCTGGTAGTTGCATTGAGGTTTGAGAGATGCCAGCTGGGCTTTGATGGAGTTGTAATGTTGATATCATTTAATTCTCCAATCTCGTAGGTGTCATTTACTAAAGAAATAAACATGAACAACAGCTCAAATGTCGTGTTTAACCATTAAAGTTGCATTCTTCATTATTTTTGTTTCTCCTTATACTTGTGGTATGTAAAAATATCTTAATGATTTATAACCATCAACTCATTTAATCCTATGAGGTACATACAACTACTATGACTGTATCATGCATGACAAAACAGAGGTCTAGCAAGAACAAGTGCCTTGCTCCAATCTTGAGTCTGTAAATTTGCAAACTGAATTTGAATCCAAACCACGCCCTTTTGACTCCAGAGAAGCATCCTTAATCCCTGAGCTATATTGGAGACAACTGCTCCAGCTTCATAACACCTGTTAATAATAATGGATTTTTCCACATTATTATATTTTCAGTGTATCTTTGACTTAAGTACTTGTAATTTCCTTTTGGAAGAATAATTCAGACGATGATTTATTTGTGTGTTCTATGGTTTCTAGTTTAACATATGGCACTAAATAGCTACTCAATATACATAGAATCAATAAATGAAGGAATATATTAAATATTTAAGTATATCTACTGAGTACTAAGTACTATGTAAAGTGCTAATTGCAAAAAGCTGGATCAGATAGCTTCTTTTAAAGAATGTGTAGGCCAGGCACGGTGGCTTATGCCAGTAATACCAGCACTTTGGGAGGCCAAAGTGGGCAAATCATGAAGTCAGGAGTTCGAGGCCAGCCTGCCCAACATGGTGAAATCCTGTCTCTACTAAAAAAAAAAAATACAAAAATTAGCTGAGCATGGTGGCAGGTGCCTGTAATCCCAGGTACTCGGGAGGCTGAGGCAGGATAATCCCTTGAACCTGGGAGGTGGAGGTTGCAGTGAGCCCCAGTTGTGCCACTGCACTCTAGCCTGGATGACAAGAGTGAAACTTCATCTCAAATAAATAAATAAATAAAAAAGAATTTGTAACCCAGCACAGACATGGGATTTGTGTAAGAGCATGGAGTATAATAAGATTATTATAATAATAGTCCAAGACATGAAATACATCTAAGATAGTGCAGCTGCTAGTGGCAAGAAAAATTATAGAATAAATCCTCTTGACTCTCAGTCCAAGATAACATAGAGGTTAAAAAATGCATTTATTATTGACATAAAATACCTCTTTTGGTCCATAAAATGCAATTCAATCAATGAAAGGAAAAAGTAGGCCGGGGGTGATGGCTCACATTTATAATCCTAGCACTCTGGGAGGCCAAGGTGGGTGGATCATAAGGTCAAGAAATCGAGACCATCCCGACCAACATGCTGAAACCCTGTCTCTACTAAAAATACAAAAATTAGCTAGGTGTGGTGGCATTTGCCTGTAGTCTCAGCTACTCAGGAGTCTGAGGCAGGAGAATCACTTGGACCCCGGGAGGCAGGTGTTGTAGTGAACCAAGATCATACCATTGCACTCCAGTCTGGGTGACAGAGGGAGACTCCATCTCACAAAAAGAAAAAAAGCAAAACAAAGAAGAAGAAGAAAAATAAAAACTAGGCATCCAAACATTGGAAAGAAGGAGCTGAAATCATCACTCTTTTAGATTTTTTGAAAACGTAATTGTGAATCACCACAAGGTTAATTGAAAAGCTACTACAATCAATATAATAATTCAGGAGAATATACATAGAGCTCTCATACATATTAATTGCAACAATTTAGAACATCTAGTAGCAGTAAGAAAAAGATAATCTAAAATGTTTTGGTCACTTAATAGAGAACAAAACAATTTTATATTATTTTATTTTAGAGTCCACATATCAAGCAGTTTAATAATCATTACAATTGTTAATATTTCAACTTCTATGTTCTAAGAACTTGTTTTTAAATAAACTCAAATGTTATGAACAGATCAATTTGAAGGTTGGAATTTAATAAGTTGAGTTTCTTATTATTAGGATAAGGAAAAGGTATATCTTTACCAGACAAATTGACATTTTAAAAAATCTTCAAATATTTCTTCAGTTCTTACAACTTTTTTGAAAACCAGTTTGTGGAATAATATAAGGTTAAGATCTCAACATCTAGAATTAGATTTATCTTGCTTTGCATTATTACTTAACACTTATTTTACTGCTTGACTCTATGTGAGTACACTCTATACATTTCAATTCTCTCATTCATAAAATAGTGATAGTATTTATCTAATAGATTTCTTATTTTAATGATGCAATGCAAAGAGAAACACTCAGTACTGATCCTGCTACAGAGCAAGCACTCAAATATGCTAAAATCTACTTCTGTTGGGATTATGCCTGTAAATATTTAAACATAGGTGCTAATTTCAGCAGAAACCATCAGAAGCTGAAGCAAATATGTGACCTGGATTGCTGGAAGTCTTGAGCTGATGTGAAAGTAGCACAACAGGGTTATGATGAAGTTAACTTTTGTAAGCAGTGTATGCTGGGTCTCTGCTGTTCTGGTGTTTTGAGAATTCATGTCTTCAAAGTCTAAAATTTTCATGATGAGATGTTGCTAAAATTTTCTATAACATCAATCCCCTAATTTCCATTTTAAGATGATGCTTAGACTCGAGGACTCTTCGAGATGGGAAGTGCCACTATTAAAAATGACCTGATTTCATTTAAATACGTTCACAAGACCTAGCTGCACAGCAGCATGTGGGCTGAGACCATTCTGAGTAATAACCCAAAGACAATTATTTAGTCTTCTCAATACCATCTCCATGAAACAGTGAGCAACCCACAGAGAATTTGATAGACACAATTATATTTAGGATTGAATCTAGAAGCATGTATCTGAGGCAGAAGAAGTAGTGGGGAAGGCACCTGTGCTTTGAATCTCCATCACATCATTTAATAACTCTCTTACGTGTTTCTTACATCTCCAAACATCTTACATATAAACATTAAATACATTTTTTGTGTACCCATTAGCACACTGCTTTTTTTCTAAAATGGGAAAGCAAACCTTTCTTTAAAGGGCCAGATGGTAAACATTTAGTGTTTGTAGGCCACATAGTCTCTGTAGAGATGACTCAACTTTGTTATTCCAGGGAAAAAGCAGCTGTAGACAATACATAAATAAGTGGACATGGCCATGTTGTAATAAAAATTTATTTATAAAAACAAGCAGCAGGCTAAACTTGGCCTGCAAGCCAGTTTACAAACCCCTTGGCTACAAGGAAGAATGGCAGCTCATGGGTGTAAGTGATCATTAGACTCCCAATGCAGATAAAAGAATACTTAACCAAAAAATGATATATTAACAAGTTAATTCCAATCCAAGTTTCTACTTACTTATCTGATACTGCAAAAGATAGCCAGTTAATTTTCCATTTAATTTCTTAGGTAGTCCCCAGGATAAAGTGGCCGTATCTTTATCAACTTTGATGACCTTGAGAAAAGTTGGCTGTTCAGGTACTAGAAAACACAAGACCAAAAATAAACTTCCATAAATTAGTAAAAAATTTTTAAAAGTACTATTACATCACAAATTTTATAGAAATTGATAAGGTAAGTCATCTGAAGTGAATATTAATTAACTACTAATAAGGAAGAATGTCTACTTATTTTATTTTTTTGAGACGAAGTCTCACTCTGTCACCCAAGCTGGATAGAGTGCGTGGAGCGATCTCTGATCACTGCAACCTCTGCCTCCTGGGTTCAAGCAATTCTGCCTCAGCCTCCCGGGTAGCTGGGACTATAGGCGTGCACTACCACGTCCAGCTAATTTTTATTTCATTTTTTTTTGAGACAGAGTCTCACTCCATCATCAGGCTCCAGGCTGGAGTGCAGTGGTGCGACCTCGGCTCACTGCAACCTCCGCCTCCCGGGTACAAGCAATTCTCTTGCCTCAGCCTCCCGAGTAGTTGTGACTACAGGTGCATGCCACCACACCCAGCTAAATTTTTATGTATTTTTAGTAGAGACAGGGTTTCACCATGTTGGCCAGGATGGTCTCGATCTCTTAACCTCATGATCTGCCCACCTCAGCCTCCCAAAGTGCTGGGATTACAGGCATGAGCCACCACTTTTAGTACAGACAGGATTTCATCATGTTGGCCAGGCTGGTTTGGAACTCCTGACTTCAAGTGATTCACCTGCCTTGGCCTCCCAAAGTGCTGGGATTACAGACATGAGCCACCATGCCCAGCTATAAGGAAGAATGTTTAATATGGCCATGGATCATCTCCATTTTTGACATGACTCTACATCATTATCCTCTCACCTCCTTCTGGCGTTTGAAATATATAAGGCTCACTTTCAGGACCAGCTCCTTTAGAGTTGTAGGCTAAGACTGTTAAGTGAAATTCACTAAAGGCATCTAAGGAGGGAACCATTCCAGAGTTTCTTTGTCCTGAAAATTTTAGAACGTTCACTTCTTTGGGATGTGTTCTTCCATCCAACAGACTTTTTGTTTTCCACCAATTTATCTGCAATGAAAACAAAAATCTTTTAATGTATCCATTGTGGTGGCAGATTCTCTTTCTGTTCTTCTGAAATTAGTTCTTTTTTATTCTCAGGAAAGATATCAATTCAACAATATGAAGAAAAAACATGATAAAAACCTGGTAGCCTTTCAGACGTCCATGTACTCTGTCCTTTGGAATTGTTGACCAGGTAACCTTAACTAATGTACTGTTTATAACGTCCACCCCATGGATCACTGGAGCTGTATCAGGATCTGTTAATCGTATAAGATTGGTTAGTTTTCAATAACCTGCAAATGTGATTATTAGGATCCTTTTCAAAAGGTGATTTTCATAGTGTTTCATCTGGAGAAAGCACTTTTGTGAAACTCATTCCAAATGGAACCAAGAGAGTGTCTCATGATAGAGAAGTTTATCAGCTCAAGTAGTTTCTCCAAAGAAGAGGACAGCCTGTATCACACTGAGAAACGTAGCCCTCCAGATAGATAAAATGTGGGCAAATAAAACCAGAAACTATTCTGTGGGCATCTTGCCTTTGGAAGCAAGTGAACTAAACTAGTGATATAAATAAAATTAGTTGAGAATTTTATTAATCAAATATTAATAAAAGCCAACATTTGAGCATATGCTATGTGTCAGGCACTGTTCTAAGAGTGTTACCTAAATTGGTAAGCAGATATGAAGTGGATATTATCTCTATTCTATAGGAGTACTTACTACAAAGGAATAACCAAACACAGAGCCATCAAGATTAATACTGGCTTAATTCACAAGTGTTATGTGCTTTGTGTCCTTTTAATTAGATAGAAGATTTAGACAGTAGGTGGGGAATGAGCTGGCTATTTCTCATTCTCAACCTTCTTCTGTATTTGGATCAAATTATTCCTTTAGATGCTGGAAAGGCAATGAGAATAACCCCTAATATTCACAGCATCAGCAATACAGAATGTAGTGCTTTTCATTTTTCTGATAACCTATTTGCAGCAGTTACCATGTTATCAGAATGTGTGTGTGTGTGTGTGTGTGTGTGTGTGTGTAATTCTGTATACAAATCTGGGTGTATACCTCATCAATATTAGCAAAACTCCAGACACGCTGCTGAAGCCCAGGGCATGACAGCAAGTGGCTGTTAGAGGATCCTTGACAAATAAGAGCAAATGTACTTGAAAAATCTTATGACAGTTATGCTGCTTTAAATGCCAGGTCTTTGACTTTCAGTGTAGAAACAGCTTTATAGAAAACTGAATAAAATTGAAACTTTCCACATACTTCCTTGGTACTCTATACTGATCAACTGTCCTGCAGTCAATCCTAAGATAGATATAATGTATAATACTTCTTTTTATCTCCCACGGCTAGTACATCCTCTTTGGATGCAGTAGTTGTTCACAAATATTTGTTGATAGAAGTACAATATATTTGAGAAAAGAGTTATTAACGTGCTTAGCAGTTTTAAGCGCATCACTTACAGTCTTCTCCAGAATAGAGAGTCACTGACTGAGGATCAGGCCCAGATCCTAGTTGATTGATAGCCTGAACTTTGACATCATAAGGGGCATAGACAGCAGGCGTCATCACCCGCAATGTATGGTTTGTGACTGTTTCTTCTTCCCACTCCACTGGGGCTCCCTGTGGCTTCCAAGTCACTCTGTACTCTAGGCCTGGTCCATTCTGCTCCATGGATTTCAAAGGCTAAAACAGAAGACAAGACTCATCCAGTCTGATCTCAGATGTGTTGACTTAGAGATGATGGTGAACCACCCTAAGTGGTGTAAGGGACAATGCAATGAAAGGATCATTTGTTAAGAAATCTGAAATGCCCCTTCTTGGTTTAGAGAAAGTTCTGGGAAAGAAAACATTCTGCAACATTTTTTGTCATTGTATGAACTTTAGTATAAAAATTAATCCCTTACCTCTCCAAGTAATGAGACGCCTACATGTCAGATGCCTGGATCATGCCCTTATGGTAAAGTCTACATTTTCATACATGAGTGAAGTTATAAAGAAATTCCACAAAGTGTTTTAGCTTTTTGATTATGCTTTCCACTACATTTCACCTTTTCATTTCCAAAGAACAGGCTGAAATTAAAAATAGTATGGCCACGAATTCTTTGGTTGTGAATGGGATTCAGCCATGGCTTTTTGAAGAAAACTCTTTCTTGCACCTGGTTCCAGCCTTTTCCATTTTTCTTTTATAAAAAGCGAGAGATTATGTAAATATCTTTGGGGAATATGCATGTTTATACTTTAACATAAAGAAGCAGTGGCTCCTCTTTCTAATAATTTCCCAGCTCCTTGACTAGTCTCTTTCTATTTCTTTCAGAAAAAATGCCTTCCATACCCACTTTTTATGCTCCATAGAAATATTTGGAGGAATAATTCTAGTATAGGAAACTGGTTATTTCCACATTCATTTTTAATGGAACAACACTTTAATTTAAAAACAATAATGTGGTTTAAACTTCCTAATTTCAAAGATAATGGGATTATGTATTGAAATGAAATCAGTTACATAAAATGTGTTTAAAATATGATTTTAATCCTAAATTTAAAGTTCACTTATATAAACAGTAATTTTATCTGGATATGTGAGTCAACAATGTCATATATAGTAGTGTATACACAATTTGTAGTCCTTCTCAACTTAATCTAATTTACTAAAACACTTATTAGAGGTATTGCTTGGAATTAAGTTGAAAGCACAGTGACATATCAGCAAAATAATTTCAAGTATATACTTATTTCAAAGTGAATAAACTAAACTAGGAGAAAAAATCAAAACAAAGCCTTTCTGAGATTTTCTGCAGATCTTGTTTGTACTTGCATTCATTGGAAAATTTTGCTCCAAAATATTTTAGAGTGTGAAATGTATATAAATTCACCAGGAGCTTTAGCATTGCCCCAGTGAATTAGGCCATGAGTTTGTAGTGTTGTACTACAATTTGAAATGATAGTCCACTCAGCCCCTACTGACAATAAGTGTGCAGATAATATTATTCATTTTACATGGTTTGCTCCAAAGAAAGGAGTTAAATTTAATAAAGTTCTCTGACAAACTTTAAACAAATAATTAAAATGCATAACACTTTAAACAAAAATATTTTAGCTATATTGCCAGTGTTTTTAGTACCTGGGAACCCAAATAAACAGCCTGAATGCTTTCTATCTGGCTTTGAGGCAATGTCTACTGAACCTCAGAAAGTTCCTAAATAAGCTCCTTAACAAAGAACAGAAGGGGCAAGGGCAGAGCAAGCAGGAAGGCCACCAGCCTTCCCTTCCTTGTTCTTCTTATGAAGTAGCCCACAAGGAAGAAGTCTCTAAAAAAGGGGTTTTTAACTTGGGGTCTAGGAATCTCTAGATGGAGTACATGCATATCCTTCAAGGATATGAGAAACTGATAATATTGTTAGTATGACTTTTTGTGTATAATTTTCTAGAAAAAGAGCCTGTACTTCCAATATATTTACAAAAGAGCCTGTATTTCCAACATATTTTCAAAGAGATCTATGAACCAAGAAAGGTTATAACCATTAATCTAGAAAAGAGGAAGACTGCTGTCCTACCTTAATTCCATTTTAAAATATTTGTTTAACATTTTTATTTCTATTTAACTGAGAAATAAAAATTGTATATATTTATTATGTACAACATGTTTTGAAATATGTATAATTTGTGGAATAGCTAAATTGAGCTATTCAAAATATATATTATTTTATATACTTATTTTTTATGATGAGAACACTTAAAACATATTCTCTCAACAATTTTCAAGAATATAATACATTGTTAACTATAGTCATTATGTTGTACAATATTTCATTTAATTCCACTCAATTTCATTTTAACGCAAGTAAATATTCTTATTATAATTGTAATATGAATAATAAAACCTTATTGTAATAAAAATAATAAAACCTAGATCCATTAGGAGTTAACTCCCTTGGATGTGATTATATAACCAGGTAATTAAGGATGTTCCTAGTTTCCAACATTAGTGGGATTTTGGGCTTTTGGTTCGGTTTTTGGTGTCCTTTAAGTTAGAAATGTGTCATTTTATTGAATAAAGTTAAAAATTCACATACATTTGCTTAAGAACAATGGAAACTCTCAAGCAAAAATTATCCTGATATAGATATTTAACTGATGGGGTTCCAGTGGACTCTTTTTTCCTGTTTTGCAAGTAGAACACTCAAACTACATGAGTGAGTCCTGACCCACTTAATATATGAAAAGTGAATGTTTGAAGGCAAAGCTAAGTTGAAAGCCTAGTTCCACCATTAAGTTAAATTGTAATGTTACTTTAAATTGAATCCTGTTTAATGTTAAATGTAAAATATAAACAAATGAACAAAAATTAGGGAAGTCCAGTCTGTTCCCAGTGTTCATCTTCATTGTTAATTCTTTTGGGAAAATCAGCTTTTTTTTTTTTTAAACAAATTATGGTCTCTCTGATCATTATCATGTAGATAGGAATTATTTTGAATCAATCTCTGAGAGGTGGGGGTCTGCTAATTCATTCACAATACTATCTGCTTATCAACCTGGGAAACACCTGGAGACTAACTCCTTTCCATAGGATGATCCACACAGAACAATACTCCATGAATGAATGTTCTTAAACTTCAGTGGCTGTGTCAGTAGTGATTAGATCTCTGATACGTCAAGATAATAGGAGACACTATGGGACATACTGGGAATGTAACTGTCAGCCTAGATCCAAATCCTGTGACTACTTTCTTCCTCTAGTCAATTAATTACTAAATTACATGTCATTTGCTGCTCCTCAAAGACAAATTATAAATTGCTTTCTCAGTATAGTCCCATTCTTACAAGAAGAAAGCATTAGTAATCAATCTTGTATATCTTGGTGGGGAAAAATGACTTATGAGTGAGAGGAGCAGTAAAAAAAAAAACTGAGTATTTCTGGCCTTTTTTCCATATGACTCAGCATATGGCATCTGGGTGAGGTCATTAAACTCTGAGACTCCCAGCTTCTCATATGACATAAAAGACTGACACCTTCAAGGGACTACAGCCCTCCCAAAGGAGTGGTGAGGATTAATGAGCTAATGCTACTGGAACATGATGTTTCTCTGAGGAACTGACCTGCAAATACACAGTATTATTGATATCTAACCAACTATATTATCTACCTTATGAAAATTTCTATGGGACTTAAGGGAGGATAAGACAAATATCCTCTAAAAGACTAACATCTTTTTAGACTATAAGTAATTATCAAGGCAATACAGTAGTAACTATTTATGGCCTCAAATTCAAGGAAAGAAATAATATTCTTGAATATGTTTCATTTCTATGTATTACCAATATATATATTTTTAATTTCCACATATTAAATTCATAAGACTTAATTTCACTGAAGTAGAAATAAAGAGCTGATTTTGATCTAAAAATTACTAACTAAATATTTTGCTGGTATGGGCCATGTGATTGTGTAATGAGTACAAAGGTATCAGGATAAAAACAAACTAAACTTGGTACATTGTAAAATTCTTCCAAAAATTATACCCGGAATGAGTTGTGAAAATAAATTAGTATATTTCAGCATACATTAAAAATGTCCTATATTTACACAAAATTTTATAAATTCAATGTTTGAGGCCTATTACTCATCAGAAGGGTTGAATGGTAATTTCCCTTTAGGTGGGCCAATATACTTGTCGTGAAATATAACCAAGTAGTAGAGGGAAAATAAAATTTCCCACTGTTACAGTAGAAATTTGGAAATTACCCTAGAATAATTAAACTTATCTGCGTAGATGTACATTTTTATGCAAAATTCAAATGGCGAAGTCTATTTAATAACAGTTAACAAAGATATGTAAAGGAGGAAAAATTCAGGTTTGGAGTCCAAAGATCCTCTTGTAGAAATCCTAGCTTTGTGAATTTCTGGTTTTATGGTGATGGGCAAGACATTCATTATCCTAGATGCCATCTCCAGATCTGGATTAAGGCATTCATGATGGTGTCTTCACAAGATTATCCTCAGAATTCTTAGAAAGGAGAATACAAAATGTCTACTGGTGTTTAGTAAGTGGTAAATATTCTTTGGGTGGGGCCATCAGTTTGATATGCATAATATCTAGTGGATTATACTAAATTAATAAAATATTTTAGTATTTTTTGAATGGAAGAGAATCTAGAATACTGTTAATTAAACCATTAATAATTTGAAAGTTTTGGTAATTTATTACAACTAAATCAATCTGCATAATCTTTCCTAAATTGTTGACCAGTGTTAAACTTGGTTTCATAAGGTGATTGTAATCACAATGATCTTTAAAATTTACAATGATGATGACTCACAAATTCATTTCATTTCCAAATCTTATCTATGTTCTTAAAAAATTGTGCTATCATTGTACTTAGCATGCAGATCTAAGCAGAATTTAAAAGAGCACAAAGAAATATATAACATATTAGAGAATAGAATACACACCTCCCACTTTATAATCATTTCCTTGGGTTGAGAGGCTTGAACCCTTATGTTTTGTGGATTCCTATCTGGAGCTGAAAAATTTAAAACATTAACATTACTTTTCCTATTTTATGGTAATCCACAGGTAAGTCATCATATCACCACTTCCCCCCGCAAAAAAAAAAAAAAAAACCCACAGATAATTAAATAATTTTGATTGTACTTATTAATTCCTATCTAGTCCAGTTCCTAAAGAGATTTAAGGCAGTTTTAAATTTACATTTTATTTAAAGGAGTAAAATAGTCTTCTTGGAGTGAAATAACTATTATCCAATGGAGAGTAGATGGTTTACGATATATGCCTTAATTTTAAACGTGCTTTCGAAATTTTTAAAACTGCTTTTTAAAATTCTAAATCTGCTTTAAAAATATATTTTCATTTAAACCTGCTTTACTTTTCCTATTAGAATTGTCAATAGAAACATGTTGTGAATATTTTTATAAGAATAAAATAAACACTATGTATTAATATTAACAGCCAAATTTTAAGAACATCAAATTGAACAAAACCTGTAATGTAGCCATGAATATTTTTAGATGAATTTATTTTATTAGAAATAGCTAAGTTTGGAGTTTAGTGCAAAGGCTGACATATACTAAAATCACACAAGTGTTAATTTCTATCTGATTCAGTTATACCTTGACTTGCCTTTTCTCAATCAGACCAAAAAGGAAATTATATCCTAGAGTATTTATTTCAGCCAAGGAAAGGTGAAATATCATGCCATGACAACATTGATGATCAATAACAATTCAGTAATACAAATTTTAGCACTGTCATTCTTGAGATTTTTTTAAAAGCATCTTGGAAATTTAGATTGATGTTGAAACACAAGAAAAGACACGAATGCATAAAAAATTAATAATGTTAGATGCATATATTGAACTCCAATTTACAACTAACTTGATGGCATCTGGTTAAACTTTATATTTAGACATCAGAAATTACTGAAAGTAATTTTTTTCATATGTCACTTCGTTAGTTTCCTGCTTCTATCGAACTCTTACGTAATGCTTCTGAGACTGATGTGGTTTGAATATTTGGTGTGCTGTTTATAGAACTGTTAAAGCTATTTGGAGAAATCTAAAATCTTATATTACTCTATCAATCTTTTTTGTTACATGTTCAAAGACAGAGACAAATGAAAATATTTTGTTAGAAACCTGATGTGAGAACGTTCATACCTGCTGGTGGTGTTTCATGATGGTCTGATGGCTGGCTAGGTTGACTTCTTCCTACTTCATTCATGGCTATGACCCTGAACTGGTATCTCACAAACGGAGCCAAAGGTAAGATGACTGTGGTTTTTTTCCCTTGGACTCTAGTCAGTTCCTCCCATCTTCCAGGCTCTTCTTTGTTTCCTTCAAATTCAACAATATACTCTGGCAGTGCAAACAGGGAAAAAACATTAGAATATATGGAGTGTGGATAAGCTATACCAAAATTTATACCCAATATTAAAAGATAAAAAGGATGTTATAAGAAGAATAATCCACAAAGCGTAGTTAAAAAATGGCTTCACTATTAATTTTGGCTATCTAGAGTAATGAAAACAGTTATCCCAAGTCTTCCTACCGCTAATATTGCTATTGTGGTCATCTCCAGCTTCCCAGGTCAGCCGAACACTCCTGTTCTGTCTTTCAGACAAGTGAAGGTTTTCTGGTGGATCCGGAACATCTGATTAATAAAGGAAGGGAAAATGTAGATATTTGCCTTTGTTTACCTGATTCCCTTCTTCAGACACATTGCCAGCCACTCTGAAACAGAGCAGGTACTACCTTCTTAGGGACCTGGGGAGCCCTTCACATATGGAAGTGAAAGGTGCGGTTTCTTCAAGGGTAATTCAGGCACCTAGCTGGCCCTAAGAAGTAAATAAACAACTGAGAACACATGGACACAGGAAGGGGAACATCACACACTGGGGCCTGTTGGGGGGTGGGGAGCTAGGGGAGGCATAGCATTAGAAAAAATACCTAATGTGGATGATCGATTGATGGGTGAAGCAACCCATGACACATGTATGCCTATGTAACTAATCTGCACATTCTGCACATGTGCCCCAGAACTTAAAGTATAATAATAATTTAAAAAAAGAAGTAAATAAACAACTTGATAAGAATGAAAGTAACAGTAGCTTTAAACAATAGCCAAGGAAGGTAGAATTACAGGGATGTTTGGTTCTCCTATAGAAGCTGAAGATAACATCTTAATATAGTTGTTTTTCTGGAACCCAGACTGCCACCAAATAAATTTGCTGGCACTGAGACCTCAGATAAAGGGAAACTGAAGCCTGAGCTCTGATAATCATTTTTTGTAAATTTTTTCCTGAGGGGCCTAAAGGGAGCCACCTACATTAGCCAGAGCTAACATATGTTTTGGCTGACCCCTAAGTTTTAAACAAAGCTTCTCTTCCTTAACCAATTGCAAATAAGGAAATCTTTGAATTGACCTACAAACTATAATCTGTGACCCATCCCCAATTCAAGATATCTCACCCTTTAAGGCATAAACCAATGTTTAGCCTCAATGTATTAAATTACAATTTTGCCTGGAGAATTTGCTTTCCTGAAATTTACTCCTGCTTTTAATTACCCTCACCTGCAAGCCATTGGGGAGGTCAGGACTTAAGGGTGAGCTAACCAATTCTTGTTTGGTGCCTTGCAGATAAACATCTTCCTTTCTCCCACTGCAAACCTCAGTATGGGTATCTAGTCTTACTGCACTGGGCTGGTGGACCCTAGTTTGGCTCCATGACAACCCTTCTCTTCTGGATCCATGTCTCCACCATATTCAATCTCATCAGCCTCTGGGGTCGGAGGTATTTTTTAAAATGCAGCATCTTTACAGCTATTCTCCAAGGGACCATATTACCTCCCTCTTCTGTGATTACAGTTTCAAGGGGTTATCCTTGACCAGGGACATCAGAATTCTTTTAGGAGAAACTAATAATGTGAAGATTACTAGGCCCTATTTCTGGCTTATTGAGGAAGGTGGGCCCAGGACTATGCATTTGCAAACAAGTTCCTTGGATGATGATTAGGCATGCTCAAGTTGAGAAACATGATTTATCTCAAATGAATCATTTCTATTTGTCCAGCTCGTATTTGTTTTTATGCCTAATTCATTTCCGAAGGGTAGGGGTCATATTTTATTAAGTTTTGCATTGCCCACAGTGCCTCACATATAATATAACTAAGTAAATCAGTGAAAAAGATATTATTACTTCAATCATGCATATAATTATTATATTAAAGCAGTAAAAATTAGGTCCTATGGTGAAAGAAAAAGAGAGCAAACATGAGCTCTGCCTTTCTTTTTGCAACTGTGTTGGATTTTTGTCCTTATTGATAACAATGAGTTTTCATTATAGCAGCTTTGATACATCCTTGACCTGGAGTTCTCAAAAGGAGTAGGAAGGCAGTTTACGTTGGGAGAGGGAGATTTGGCATTGTTAAATGCTGTGACAGAAACTGGAAAACGAAATCAGTAAGTGATCACAAATTTTAGAGCACTAAAGAAAATGAAATTTCCTGGTACTTTGAATATGAAGCAACAGTAAAAAAAAAATCTTATCTCTAACGGCCCATACTCTTGAAATTTGGTTTGAATTCTCTCAAGTATTGAAGGACGTTTATCTTTTTTTCAGAAGAGAAAAGAAAGGTATTATCTAATGTAGCCTTTCAATGGGCTCTTTCTTCTCCAAGTGGAAAGCATCACCCATGGCTCCTCCTGAATATTTGCTAATTGTTAGAAATTTACGTTGACCAAAAGCATTGTTTCCAATTCAGAATGGAACATTCTTTAAAAAATGTGTTCATGACTGTGTCCAAACATTAAAACCTTAAATAAAAAGTTATTTCTTCAACAGGCTTCAGAATCTCTGAGCTCAGAGAACTTTGGTTTCTCTTCAGCATTTACTGAGTCCCCTAAGTTCTGAAGTTTCCTGAAATAAACTAAGGCTGCATGTTGCATGTGACATTAAAATCTGGCTCCTCTAAGAATCATATGGAGCTGGAATTGATAAACGTGCAACTTAGCCTTTTAAAAAATGATATCCTGAAACCATGTTTATGTCTAGGCTTTTGAAAATAACTTTTGATTGAAGTGGGTCAAGTATATGCTTTTAGAAATTGTTTTATGGGGGGAAAATGGTCTTTTAGAAACCTCACATGTGTCTATAGAATCATTTATTATTGTCAATTGTTGAGAGATGCTTTGGTAAATCAGAAGTTTGTCTAAAAAAATGTAAATTTTAAATAGAATATTCTTCAAATTTTATTTTTATTCTAAAAACATTGGTAGATTATTGCATACATAAACAGTGCATATAATTGGAGGTAAAATGTATGTAGACTTAAAAAAATTTAATAGTTTTAAAAGAATAGCAGCCTAATCGCAAGAATGAAATTTTAAATTTTATAAGGAAATTGAGAAGGTGAACATCAAACAGAAGGGGACCAAGTCCCTTTAGTGGCACCCATTGCTCAAAATGCTGAGGAAAAAATTGCATGGAGGCTGACACTTACCCCTCTACTCACTGGGCCTGGGATGAATTCCAGTTTATCTGAAGCCCAACTATCTTTTCTGATGAATTAGTGTTGGAACCATCACTAGAGGATTAAATGTTTCTGCTTGCAGAGACCTGAAAATGCTCAAGCATACATGGCCAAACATTTTGCCTAAAGGTATAATTCTGCTGAGCCAACTCTACAACTCTACAAATCCATACCTTCTACGAGTGGGAACTCTTCTTTTATTTTTAGAACCCCACCCGATGGCCATTTGTTTCACCTAAGACAGGGTGGCCATTCGGTTCACTTGAAGAGATCTAGCCTGTTGACCCATTTTGTATCAGCCTGGCTTGGAGGAGACTGAATTTTCTCCCTCAGTCTGTACTACCACCTCCCTCGTTTGCTACCTAACGGTGGGCCCAACAGCGGGAGTGCTAAAGATACAAAGATCTGTTAATAATAGTGATCAATGCAGACATATAACAAAGAAGGGTAGGCAAAACCAACACTTTAAAGGAATATCTGCAAACTAAAGGGAAGACTAAATGGTGCCCACTGAAACAGAATAAATGTCTGTAGCTGTCAGGGTCCCAACAGAAAATTAGTGAATAACTCACACAAAATTAGGATAGTTCAAAAATGTTTTAATAAAACATCTTTAAAAAGATGTGGCAGGATGTTTGATAGGTTGGGTGTGAGAGACTTGCAATATTGGTGGTGGGAAGCAGCTGCTAGAGCCCCATCAGAAGGAATGGTGTGAAGAGAGCCTGTCTGCAGAAGCCATGACTTTGGCAGTGGGACACAGCCAGTCCACAGGGACAGAGCAGGAGAATCAATACAGCACCCCAAAGGGCCCTCCATTTGCTGAACTAAATCATAGCTGGAAGGCAAGTGGTTTGTTGATGTCCTTACAGGCAAGCTTTCTGGGTCAAATTGCTGGTAGAGAGTGAATCTGGAGGGGAACTTTTGGAAAACATCCAGCAGATGGTCTAAAAGCTTTAAACATTGGTGATTTCAGAGATAACTGCATTGATTACACTACTAAAGTAGGCACACTGTTTCCTAATTAGTACTTTCATTAACAGCAACAACAACAAAAAAATCAAAGACATTCCTTCGCAGAATGCTGGAAGTTCCTCCTCATCCTTCCTGGAACCCTGAGAGCTCAGTCTGGGCCTTTGATTTAGAGATGACCACTGTGCGTTCACCCCTCGACCCTACCCAGATCCTCCAGTCTAGCCCACCTCCATTCTTCAGCCCCATTTCTTTGCACACCGGGAAACAGGAGCTCAAGAGTGTTAGGAACTCAAGCATGCTTTATTTTTCTTTCTGCTGATAGCATCACTTACCTCCCACTGCTATTGGCAAATTAACACATACAGGGGAAAGAAATTAAGCATTAATTAATTACTTTTATATAAAAAGAGGAGAAAGGATTTGAAATTGGGTTGCTTTTTAAGCAAAAATTTCAAACTAACAATATATGTGCAGGGGCTCAAAGAATCATTAGCTTTATTGGCCAGGAACAACATAATTTAATCAGAAATGAAAAAAAGAACAGATTTCTCATTGGTTGGCGCACTTACCAAGGACAGTGACTTGAGTTATGTCAGCAGCACTATCCAGATCAGTGTGAGCTGAACAGCAGTAAATACCTTGGTCCTCTAAAGTTATGTTAGATATGGTCAAATTAGCTCCATCAATAATTATCCTATCAGAAAAAAAGTGAGTACATGGTGAGAAGGAAAACAACAGAAACAACAGAAACCCAGTCCTTTTAAAAATGTACATTCCTCATCAAACACAATCTGAGTAAGAGTGAAAAAACAACTTTATGCAATGCAAATTTGATTAGAGAATGCCACAGTTGAAACCTGGAGATAAAGAATTATTCAAGCATACACAAATGTCTACATAGCCATACACAAGATCACATTTTAAAAAATTATTATGAAATTTAACCATCTGTTTGCATGGGTAAGTGATGGAACCGTGTGTTGTCTGGCATGTTTAAAGAATGCATCATACCTTACAATAGCCAAGATACATTTGAGTAGTTCTTAAGGTATGTTTAGAGAACCACCTATATAGGCTCAATTGGAATGCTTCTTACAAAGGCAGATTCCTGAATTCCATCCGCATTCCACAGAACCAGAATACCTAAGATGGAGTTTGATAATCTCAATTTTTCACTAGTTTCTCTTTTCTCCACCCCTCCACTCCCAAGTAGAATGCACATTTAAGATCTGATAGCGATTAAATCATGACTTATTTGAACAGTAGATGGCAGTCTAGTACTTGTTTTTGCAAATCATTTCACGTTACTTTTTATCATTTTTTTTTTTAACAATTTGTGATTAGGTTTACTATGAGAAAATTGCTTCTTTATAAATTATACCTTGTAACCTATACCTATGTATTGTTGACAAAACTATTAAAGTGTTTTTCAAGTTCCATAAAATTTAAAATATATTCACAGTAATTAGCATTTAGTGGAAATAATGTAAATAGTGTCATCCTTATGAAGAGGAAAGGAGACTCACATAATTCGTATTTTTAATGTAAATTTCATATAAAGTGCTGAAAATTTTGAATTATAGAAAACCATTTTAAATCACAGTAAAATAAAACATAGTTCTTTTGAGCATAGACAGAATCAGCCTCATTTGCCTACACAAATAATGGAAAGATTTGCCAACCATTATTCCCTTGCACTGTTAGTCAAGAATCTCACTATAATTCTAGACACGATAAAACTTTGACATGAATTAACTTCTCGGGTCATGTTAGCTGTCCAATTGATACAATATTAGAATACTAAACATGCTGACAATTTTTGAAAAATTTACCTTCTTAGATGAAAGAATACACTTTAAAAACCTCTTGAAACAGGGCTTTTGTGCCCTTCACGAGAGCCCATAACAGCCAAAATCTTGCCAAGATTTGTAACCTGCATAGGGTGCTTCATTCCAGAAAGAAAGCTACCAAATTTTTGACAAGTCATAGTTGCATTATGCCTTATTTCCAGTCTCACAAATGTACCTTAGGTGCCTCAAATTAATCAAGGTTGGGTGCCTCACTAATCCTCGATATGTGGGAGGTATGGTATGTCTAAGGAACTTTTAAAAATGTTGGCTGGGCATGGTGGCTCACACCTGTAATCCCAGCACTTTGGGAGGCTGAGGCAGGTGGATCACGAGGTTGGGAGTTCAAGATCAACCTGGCCAAGATGGTGAAACCCCATCTCTACTAAAAATACAAAAATCAGCTGGGCATAGTGGCAAGCTCCTATTCCCGCTACTCAGGCAGCTGAAGCAGAGAACTGCTTGAACCCAGGAGGTGAAGGTTGCAGTGAGCTGATATCAGGTCACTGCCCTCCAGCCAGGACAACAGAGAAAGACTCTGTGGAGATGGGGGCAAGGACCATTACATTTGAACAGGAAGCCTCGATAATTCTGTCACACATCCAAATCTGACAACTATTGCCTCAGCAGGGTCACACTATGCTGTGCTGCAGTAGCAGACAGCTCCAAATTCTCCGTGTCTAAGAAAACAATCCCTTATTTCTCCCTCAAATTATGTTCCCATCATAGGTCAGCTGGATTTTGCTTTCAAAAGCCCTATCATTTCTACTCTCATAGCACCTGAACTCTTAGAAGAAGCTAAAAAGCATCTTCACATCTTTGTGTCCCAATCGTTTCATCTATTCGTCTTCACCGGTTTAATTACCTTGCCTGAGAAATCTATCACCCTAAAACCACTCGTCTCCTTCATCGGCAGTATCCAGTCTGCTACTCCCTAATCCATGTAAGCAGCCATTGTTGTCTTACCCTGTTCAGCTGAGTAATATCCGTGTTTCCCTGAAGACACTATGACAAAACGCTTCTCTCTTTGGAAACCTGTGTTTGCGGCTTAGTTTCATCAATTATTATTTGCACAACCTTGAACAAAACATTAAGCCTAATTCATCTTATCTAAAAAATGGGGATAACAATATTTTCTTTCTCTTTAGGAGAATTAAATGAGGTAAAGCACATAAAGTGATTAGTGTGTACAGCCTGGCAGTATGTGCTCAAAGAGTGTTACTAATAATATTAATCAAATTGATTTCATTCATTTCTGGCTTATTGCTAATCACATTTCTCATGGTTGATGTTTTAATGTCCCCAACTCCCATTTCTCCTGCCTCTTTGCTTGAACAAATTGCCTTCTTTTCTAATTTGTTAGAAAGAGAACTTTTACTATGACCGTCTTAACAATCTTTGCATCTTCAACTTCTCCCCTCCCTCATTTATTTGCCACTGTTTCTGGAGGGGGAAAAAAGGCAGCTCTTATTTGGTGCCAAGAAAAAAACCCTTCCACTGTATTCTCAATATCATTTCCTCCCTTTCCCCCCTAGTTATCAATATATCCCATTTTTCATGCTACTGTGTTTTCTCCTACAGTGCTCGGTCCCTAACTTTGCCTACAGTCATGAACAGTCCCCACTACCTTTGTTAAGCATGGTATAAATTCTAAAAATGGTTTCACATCCATGTTCCATTGCTTTTTTCATAACAATAATGTTATGGTCTATAGCCACCTGCAGGTTAGAAATCCACAGGAAACTCCTTGGGGGCATTTCAACCTACCTAATAGCATTGCTGTGAGGACTGAAGAGATAAAGTGTGTATGGGAAGTACTAACATAACACGAAGCACCATAGGTCTAATGGTTCAGAGTGGCAGTTCCCAGCACTTATTGCATCCCTATGTGAGAAAAGGGATAGGAGAGAAGAGAAGGAGAAAGTTTCACTTCTCATTGTTCACCATGTATATTTGATTAGAAATTTAACTTCCGTTTAGGTTAAAGCTTCTGGTCTTCTGTGTAGTAATAAGGAGAAGGTGTTTCAGCAGAAGGTAAGAAGCACGAGCTTACTGATACAGCCTTCCAGAAATTTAGCAGACACCTGTGACTTCTATCCCCTGCTATATCTCTCTATGCCTGCCCTTGGCAGCAGTCAGGGCCAACCAGCAGCAGTTACTCCCAGGCTTCCTCGCTCCTGGGGCCTCTTCTGAGCAAAGGTTATTGTCCCTTATGCCGGCGACTTGTTGAGGGAAACTGGCAGAACATCTGTGTCACTTGCTTAGTCCACTCAGGCAGCCAGAGGTTCATTTCAGTGTCAACTCTTGTATCCTGTGGGAACTGTAAGACTGGGCCACATGAAAAGGCTGCTTAGGGCTTCTGGGGTCAGAGCCTAAATGTCCACGTCATATTTATTACCAACAAGCCACGGGTCTCTGATTCCCTTCTGGGCTGTAGCCCAGAGGTCACTTGGAAGACCCCGGATAATCAGGCAGCAGTAACAAAAGAGGCAGAATTAAGGCATATCCGAAAAGTTGGCAGCTCAGCAGTGACCTAACCTGAGGCTGAAGATCTGTATTGCAAAGTGTAGCCTTTAGATGTGTATAATTAATCCCATGTTTCCATGAGAACTGGTTGTAATACATACACTGCCTTTCTGAAGGAGGGTAGAGAATAAATTAAGTACCAAGGCTGAAACCAATATATTTGCATAGAGGTGGTTCATGCACAAATACCAAGAGAGGACAAGCAAGCAAAGAAGATGAGAAAGAATCAACAACAAAAAAATGCTGAAGACTCAAAAGGCCTCTCCTCCAAACAATCACAACATCTCTCCAGAAGGGTGCAGAACTGGATGGAGGATGAGGTAGATGAACTGACAGAAGTAGGCTTCAGAGGATGGGTAAAAAAAACTATGCTGTGCTAAAGCAGCATGTTCTACCCCAATGCAAGGAAGCTAAGAACCTTGATAAAAGGTTACTGGAGTTGCTAACTAGAATAATCATTCAGAAAGGAACCTCCTGAAAAAAGCACTAAATATGGAAAGGAAAAACCAGTGTCAACCATGCAAAAACATACCAAAATATAAAGATCAGTGACACGATAAAGAAACTTCATCAACTAGTGAGCCAAAATAACCAAACAGCATCATGATGACAGGGTCAGATCCACACATAACAAAACTAACCTTAAATGTAATTGGGCTAAATGCCCCAATTAAAAGACACAGTTTGGCAAATTGGATGAGGAGTCAATACTCATCCATGTTCTGTATTCAGGATACCCATCTCACATGTAAAGACACACATAGGCTCAAAATAAAGAGAAGAAGGAAAATTTACCAAGCAAATGGAAAGCAAAACAAAGCAGGGGTTGCACTCCTAGTCTCTGATAAAACAGACTTTAAACCAAACAAGATCAAAAATGAGAAGGAATAAAGGGAACAATTCAACAAGAAGAGTTAACTATTCTAAATATATATGCACTTCATACAGAAGCATCCATATTCATAAAACAAGTTATTATGTTTTATGAGTCTAACAAGTTCTTAGACTCCCACACAATACTTGTGGGATACTTTAACACTCACTGTGAATATTAGGCAGATCAATGAGACAGAAATTTAACAAGATATTCAGGACTTGAACTCAGCTCAGGATCAAATGGATCTGATAGACATCCACAGAACTCTCCACCCCAAATCAACGGAATGTACATTCTTCTCAGTGCCACATGGAACTTATTCTAAAATCAGCCACATAATTGAAAGTGAAACATTCCCCAGAAAATGCAAAAGAACTGACATCATAACAAACAGTCCCTCAGACCACAGTTCAATCAAATTAGAACTCAGGATTAGGAAACTCA